GCAGGAGGTATGCCAGTTCTCCCAGTTTACACCAGAAGTGCCATGGCCTGTTGGTACCTGCCAGAACAACTTACAGAACAACTTCAGCACTGAAGTGCTGAAGCAATCATTTACTAAGTGTATCACACACGCGCATATTTGTGTTTCCTGACCTCACAAGCAACAGGGGAAAAAAAAAAAAAGGCAGCTCAGACTTTTCTTGGGAACAAGGAAAGGTCAGTTGTCTCATCAAATTTCATTCATTAATAGTAAGCCTGTTCCCTCAAGGAAATTTATAATTGTTCCTCAATAATTTTAATCTTTGGTTTCAGCAACATGACTGAGATGTTATGCGATAGATTTTAGGAGCTTCCTCAGGGAAGAGTCCCTAGTTTACTCTGAACAAGTTCAGAGTAACCCATACACAAGGAGACACTTATGCACCATTTGCCACTGAAATACATGACAAACACATAAGTCACAGACTGTGAAGACAACACATGTAAAATGACATGCTGCTGTCACAAGCAGTGTTTCTCTCCCAGCACAGGGAAAGGTAGAGATGATATACTAGTTAATAAAATGTGTAATTTCCAGAGAAAAGTTTGATATCAACCTGTCAATTTCATTTATTGGGCCTCTGGTTCCATAAGCTGATTTCCTCCCTTACACATCAGCACCTGCATTCATCCATTCTATGGAGTCTGGCTCTGCAGCCAAGGGCAAAAGAGAAAACACATTTACTCATGATCTAAGCAACCACAAGCCAGCACACTCCTCATAATCTCCTCTTTCCTTCTCTCTAGAGAGGGAGAACTTAGAGTTACTGCATATCTCTGCTAGGGGAGCGGCAAAGCCTTTTCTCAGTAAAGAGCCCAGAACTCATAATGAAAAGTACTCACCTGATTCCACAAACAGCCACTCACTCAATTTTCCATTTCAATGCAACACCACAAGTTGGGTTAACTAAAAATGTAAAGTAAAAGTAAAATGACCCAAGTGTGACAGTGACCTACATAGCTGTGTACAAGACATTACTTGGTCACCTACAAGATGTCTATAAGATATCATGGCAAGTCATATCTGGTATTTCACAGGCACTGTATTGCAGAAACCTCTCTTTACCATTAAATCCAAAACCATAAGTGGAAGAAAATACCTTTCTTTCATTTTTACCACAGTAAGACTCCTGTAGTTGCCTGTCACAAAGTGTTCAACAGAAGGATGCATAGTCTGCAAAATGGTTGATTAATTTTACCCAGCACTTAACTTGAGTTACAGGACAGCCTTAAGGCCGATAACAGAATCACTGTGGTAGACCCTGGATAATCATGTGATGTGTTGTGGTGGTTCTGCCTCTCCAGCAGTGGGGACATGAGGCTGTTTTGGAGGCCTCTTTATATACCTATTTCACTGCCACAGCTACGAGAGCTAAGAATACAACTGCTGTATGGAGGACAAGGTGCACGGTTGTGGAATTCCATGCATTTCTCTGCCAAACCAAAGGTAGCAGGCTGGGCAGAGCTGCCTCACGACTCCCCTTTCTGCACTTACACAACCACAGAGTTGCTCATTGGAAGAGCTCACGAGGCTGAGCAGATATAACCAGGAAGGAGCTGTGCAGGAAGAGACTAAGCAGTGCCCCCAAATCCAGGGCTGTGAACACAGCCCACGTTTGCTGCCAACCCTCTCCCCAGTGCCCACACTGCTGCCTCAAGAAATTGCATCCTTTCAATTGAATGATTTGACATTTATGCTAAACATGTGCTTGCCTTACCTATAGGCATTTGCTACTGCATGAAAAGTTTTGGAAAACACTGGCTGGCCTTGTTTCAATTCAGCATCCTCTCGTCCTCAGCCCTTTTGCTGCAAGAGCCCCCTGTATCTCTATATAGTATATACGTCAGAAGGACTCTAAATGTCAGTGCACATCTTTTGTGAGGGCTTTCAGGCAAATCTATGATTAAAAGTAGATATTCAAGCAGAAGATGAATATATTATGTCCTCAGGCTCCCTAAGTCATGATCCATATTTATAATGCAAGACTAAGGCTTCTATTGAATAATTACATCTTCTGCCTACCCATTCTTCCTTCCCACCCCCACATGTATACACACCACAAATGCACATATAGCATTTAAAGTGAGCAATTATTCACTCCAAAGGCAGAATATCCTTGAGTACGTGCATGCTAGAGAGAGTTTAATTCTGTAATTATCATGCAAGATTTGCAGCAGCAAGTCTTGTTCAGATTGAGACACCTTCCCCTCACTCAGGGTGAATAAAGGTGGGAACAGCATGTTCCAGAGGGGCTAGAGCACTCCATAACCAACAAAGCCAAGGACTGGAGTAGTCACACTCATTCCAGTTCCAGGTAAATATTCTCCTTCCAAGCAGAAGTCTCTGATTTGAAGTTCCTGAGATCCTACTTGGTCAGTGCTTCAAAGTGAAAGGTGCTTCTTTATGAATGAGTGAAAGCCACTTTAAAATGTTTGGCAATCACTGAATTCAGAAACTGTATAAAAAAATACAACACGATCACAAACATTATTTTCCAGCTAACGTTGATCTCTCCTGATCACCATTCACATCAACAAGCAGTGCTACCAGACAACTCAAAGTCAGATTGCAAGATTCAGCTTGTCATTAAAGTCAGAAACTTGATTAGAAGGAACATTTTAACCAATATCCTAGAGACTTAAGCCTGTATTTCTTCACTCATCCTTCTCAGGGCTACAGATTTCTCTATAGAAGAGAGAGAGTACTGGTATCACTAAGAAGAATTCCACACAACAAAACAAACAAGCACAGCATTCATTACAACTAGCTGGGAAATACAATTTTCATGTGCATGTACATGCATGCACACTCTTCAGGTTAATCAGAAAACTAGAATATTTTTCAGTAAATTCAACACACTCCATCTTTAATCCAGTTCTGGAAGTGGAAGTGGCATCAGCAACATCAAAATAATGTGCTGCAAACAAAAGTGTTTCTTGACAGAATCTTGTGTTTTGTCAAAAACTTTACTAAAAGATTCCTAGCAGATCTCATCACTCTTTTTACCTCTCCTAAAATTTGCCTTCTGATATGCAAAGTGAGCAGAAAGCACTGGGAGCCTGCATACAACATTCTCTTACCCAAGTGCAACTTCTATGGCAAATTTATCCGCTAAAAGAAAAAAAAGTCACAGTTGCAACATTCTGGATGACAAGAACACCACCCATGGAGCAGTCTGCTCAAAAATTAAGCACCTCAGCACTGAGCAGGTCCTCAAGACATCACTCAAAGTAAAAGTATGGGAAATGTGATATTACATTGCAAGTCAGCATGGGTGGAACAGTGATGGGCACAGCATCATGAAAGAAGCTCTCAGCTTCCTGCTGTATTCATGTCATTGCTCAAAAAGAGAAATGAAGAAACTCCTGCCTTGTCCTCACTGCCTTGCTTGTGGCTTAGAGATGTGACAGTGATTTGTCTTTCCCTTTTCTCCCACCCACCTCCAAAAGAGATAAAAAAATTGTTACTTCTCTTCATTAGACCAGAATTTTACCATATGCCCCAACCAAGAAGTGGGGTGTAACCAAACTCCCCCTGAGCTGTCATCCCACCCCTCTTGTCAGCAAAGAGCAGAAACAGAGAGACTCATTGGTCTTGACCCGCAACAAATCAGCTCAGCACTGTAGCAGATAAAGGAAGTCAAGGCTACACCTACAGAAGCAGAAGAAAAAAAAGAAAAAAGGAAAAAATATTCCTGGCACAGCAGTCTAATTTTGCCCTGAAAGATTTTTTTGTTAATTCAGAAAGGTTCCAATTTTCCATCCAAGCATTTGTGTCTGCCAGTAGGGCATACAAGCCACAAAGAGAGGCTGAGCTGTTGGATTTTCACAGGGTGAAGTCAGGCCCCAAAATATTTAGTTCCTCACCAACAGAATTCATATAAACACAGATGGATGGTAACATCCAAAGATGGATGTATTGTCTTTCACTGCAATCCAAACATTACTGTGAGGTCTATCCTGCATCACTTGGCACCCTGCAGTATTTCAGACCAGGGGTAGCTCGTTTCTACCACTCACTGCAATTGCAGCCAAAGAATTCAGTTTCTAAGCACAACTTGGAAGAAAATAAGACTTTTTGTAACTCAGGCTAAATTCCTGGGTCATTTTAATATGTTTTGCCACTGGCAGGAGGGGGGAATCAACAACAAAATGCAGTCATTGCATTTCTCTGACACATGTTCTCTAATTTAGTCCTAAAGAGGATTGTATTTATCATCTCATGACGCACAGAACATGTGCTGTGCACTTCACTCATTCTGCCAGCTACTTACAGTTTTATGTTACAGGTTTCCTTACCGCTGTGCCTGGTTCTTAGAGCATCATTTAAGGCTAGTCTTAATTCGGTGTGGCAGGTACAGGAAGCAGTCCCTTTAAGATACAGGAGAGCATCTGCATCTGAGACTTGCTTCTGCTTTGTCATTATGAATATATAATACCACAGCCCTGGGAAGGGGGAAAGCAGTAGCATATCCTTGCAAGTGCGTTTGAAGAGGCAGGTTGCTTATAACAATAATTAAGGAGCTGACGTACATATGGTGCACTAGTACTAATTTTTAGAGACTGTTTAGTGTTCATGAAAAATCAGATAATGTGGAGTAGAAGCTCACTTTGAAGAGCCAAGGGCTGCAAAGAGGTCTGTTCACTGTTGGTTGGTTCAGTGCTGGACCCAGGACTGGTGATATTCTCTCCTCTTCTCTTTTCCATCTTTTATTTTATTCTTATTATCAGAAGATGGGGCAAAACATACCAATTTCCATGCCTGGTGTGTAGTTTGCCAATAAACCTTGTGAGTTTTTCTTTTTGGAACCCTTTTGGCTTTTGCCATTCTTTTTCAATAATGGACATCTACAAATCTTGGGTGGTCCCTTTTGTGTAGGATTGGGATGTAACAGCAATATATGCCACAAAAGAGTAAAAGGAAAAAGAAAACAGACAATTCACAGAACAGTTACCAAAGGGTCACATCAAACATCAACTCTTTATGTACATGAAGCTGTCGGAGCATGAGGTGCCTGACTCTCTCTCTGTCAGCTAGGACCAAATCTAGGGCAGGGAAAGAAACAGAGAAGCATGAATGTCTCACACACACCAAGCTCACCAGAGGAGTGCAGATAAAGTCAATTAAGTGTCCCTATCCCAAAGGAAAGTTTATGATGATTGCATGGACTGGTCAACTTCAGACTCCAAAAATAAAAATTTAAGTGCAAGAAACTTTGAAATGCCACAAATACACCTGGATAAGTTTTAGCAGCACCTGTATTAGCTCAGAACTTAGCAAAGGCAAATTAGCTAAGTTACAGTGGGGGGGGGGGGGGAAAGGCAAAACCAACCTGGGATTCAAGTCTTGTAACCCACTTTTACTCATGAAATGGCCAGTCCTCTTCTGGCTGATCACAGTAACAGGATACCCTGGGAAAGACTGCTAATGTATTTCCCAAAGTTCACCAAATCGAAGTATCAGAAGTTCTACAGAGATTTCACACTCCCTCCTTAAATAAGGAGATGAAACTCCACTTAAAAAAAAAAAAAAAAAATATCCTACAGCTACAAACACACAAGTTATTATTTCAATATTTGTAATAAACCATACAAACTGTATTCAAGACTGCACAAAGTCTGCTTTTTACCATATTACCTTCTCCAGAGGGAGCATCTCGAGGAAGAGAGAAATCCATTCTGAAGAGCTGATGGGTTTTCTTACCATATATCAAGATATATGAGATAAGTGACTTCCTGTGACTCCTACAACCATGTTTTTAGCAGAAAACTGACCCAAGTGTCATAGCATATCATGACATCATGCTCTGACGTAATATGGTAAAAAGCAAATTTTATACAGTCCTGAGAGAAAACAAAAAGCAGAATACAGTTTGTATGGTTTTAATATAAATATTAATACCTTTGCCAACATAGGTTATTTTAGCACACACTGTACAATGTCCTGACCTAGCACTTAGTCCTTTACCTATGAGAATAGTCTTTATTCCAAATCAAAAATAAACTAACTTTTGATATATTGGCTCAAAACATTCTTCTATTTGATTTTTAAGTCATTACTAGATTGTTTGGGCAGTTCTGCTCTAAATACCACTTCATAAAATTATTTTCCCTGATTCAATTACATATTGAATAAACCAAACTGAAATACATTTTAGATGCAATTATTTTAGTAATCTATGGCTTTCTCAGTACCTACTTGCTTGCCTTGCTGCTGGATCCCCCTGGGAGCAGGGATTTGCAGATTTGCATAGCAAGGATGACATTCTCTGTAATCTCTTCTCCAGATAAGGAGATAATAACAGTGCCATTGTCTTTTACTATAAACTCTCAGTCTGAGGGGTGTTTTCAAGCCTGGTACCATGTTTGCCAGGGAAATATTTTTAAGGGTCTGAGTTTGAAGATTTTTCAAATGGAGATTTTGCTGTCCTTCTACATTAAACTGCTTCTGCATTTGTTCTTCATACACAAAAAAGAAGTGGCTTCAGGGTGACCTAATCGTGGCCTTCCTGTACCTGAAGGGAGCCCATAAGAAAGATGGAGAGACACTATTTAGAAGGGACAGGACAAGGCAGAATGGCTTCAAACTGAAAGAGAGTAGGCTTAGATTAGATATTAGGAAGAAATTCTGTGAGGGTGGTGAGGCCCTGGAAGCTAAGAAGAGAAACTTCCAGAGAAGTTGTGGTTGCCCAATCCCTGGAAGTGTCCAAGGCCAGGTTGGATGGGGCTCTGAGCAACCCAGGCTAGTGGAAGGTGTCCCTGCCCATGGCAGGGGTTGGGATGAGATGGTCTTTAAGGTCCCTTCCAACCCAAACCATTCTATGATCAAACACCAGCCAGCTCTAAGTCAAACTACTGCTCTGCCTGCAGGAGAACAAAAGATTCCCAAGCAAAGGAAAACAGAGCCACCTCTGAAGGCACCACACACACATTTGCAAAGGCTCCTGGCATCACAATTCCATTAATATTCATTCCTTTAGTTGAAGACCCTTCACAGAAAACTAGTGGAAAATCAGTCCTTTGCTCTGAGTTTTTCCCAATAGCCTCTGCATTAGCCTTTGATTAGCATACCAATCTTTTTTTGAAGTTACTACACCATCCAAGACGAGCAGTCCAGATATCTGCCTTTTATTTCTTGCTAACACCAGTATAAATCCAGGAAAGCAGCCATAAGTCAGCAACATCCTTGGGATGGAGGGAGATCAGATTGTTCTTCTGCACTTCAGTATTTATCAGTAAAAAACCAAGCATAATATCAGGTTTCATTTCCTAGCTATGCAACGAGGACAGCAACATCAGATTTGATGGGCACCCAGGTTCCACCTCTGCCACCCTGGAGACACAGCAACTTGTAAACAGGGACAGTCAAAAGCCTCTGATTTTGCAGACATCATATTTATACTTCTATTATTTATATTTCTAAAAAAACACACAAAAACATCTTTTAGGTGCTGGGAGTACTTCAGACTTCCTTTTTAATGAAGGACAATTTTTTATTATTTAACAAACAGATGCAACAAGCTTGTACTAAGTTTGAAAAAACTGTTACAGTCCTTTTGCCATTTCCCTGACTGCATTTTTCTGGGTTGCCAAACATATCTTGCTTTAAAATAAAGATGTTTAAAAATCAACCTCTATTTCTACCCTACTCTACAAGAATCCAGTACATGCAGCACAACAGTATTCATAAGGGATTCAATAACCTGAGTAGAAAACAGGCTCAAAAACTGTTTTTCAGTTGCATTATTGCTTCCAAAGAGACAAAGAGCACATCATTTGTTCCACAATGTAATTTTGAGATGTCTTTGATCTTGTTCAGACCAAGATAAAAGTTATCCCTTAAATTATATCCATTAAAGTTTTAACCTACTTTTAAACAAAAGGCAGGCTTTGGACAAGCTAAGTTTAAGAATCTAAGATACATATCTGAATTAAGAGGACAACATCCTTAGCTATCTCCTCCAGAAGCAATCCTCACTGGAAAAGGGAGACCACAGACAAGCACCTCCTTACTTAACTTGAACCCTCTGGTCATTGAAGCACCTCCTACAGACAAAGGAAAAGCCCTCACAGAGAATGATTCCTCTTATTTTACAACAGCTATCTGTGAAATGACTCACTACATTTATCCTTCCAATGATTAAGGAGAGGACAGAAAGCTCCAGAAGTGAGAAGAGGTTATTCCCACTGCATTGGTTACAGGAGGAGAGAAGATATCCACCTAAGAACACTTGGTTCTTAGCTTTTTTTTTTTTGCTAGTAAATTTAGGGGGAATTAAGCCAGTCCTGGCCCTTTTAATACAGCCAATTCCACATTTGACCAAAGGTGACTCCCCTCCTGCTGCCACTGCTTGGTCTACACACATCTCAGGAGTTAAACATTAAGTTATGCCTTAGATAAGTGTGGAGATGGGAGAAATAAGAGCAGGTCCCAGCACTCCAGTTCCCAGTTCAGGAGCTCAGCTTTGGAAGAGAGACTCTGTGTAACCAAGGGCTGCACTTGACCACATGCAGCCGGCATTTCCCACCAGCACCTCTACCCTCCATTGCAAGGGGCACGTGTTGCTTTTCAAACAAAAAACTCTTGAAAATAGTCCTTTGTTTTGGAGTCTCCAATAAGGATGTCTGACACAAGCCAAACAAGCTGCAGGAGTATCAAGGGTTGAGATTGTTGAATGGATGAAGAACAGCCTTTGGCTTTTCTGTGCTACTCTGAAAATCTCAATATTAAGCCCTTAACACTAACTGCGTGTAGACTTCTCTGTCTCCAGAGACAGACAGAATCCACAGCCTCTTCTTACATATCCTCACCCAGAATCAGGGCATTGACAGCATAAGTGAAAAGCACATAGAGACGCTGATCCCAAAATTCCCAACAGCAGCTTGGCAGTTAGAAAACTCAGGGGTGAGAGATGGGGTTCAAATCTACCTCACCAAGACTTCTGGAATTTCATGCACACACATTGCATGCTGGGCGAAGCTGCAACTGCAGAGCTTATAGATGATAGGGAACAGCATTGCTTCCTTCTCCTCCCCTCTGTGTTTCATCAACCAGCTCTATGAAACTACCTGAAAGGAGCTTATAAAGGGAGTAAGGATCAGTCTCTTCTCAGTAATAAGCAACAGGATAAAGAGGAAAGAGCAGCAAGTTGCACCAAGGAAGATTTAGGTTGCACATTAGGGAAAATTTCTTCACCCAAATGGTTGTCATGTCCCTGGCACAGGGAAGTGTTGAGCCCCCATTCCTGGAGGTATTTAAAAGATGAACAGATGTGGCACTCAAGGTCATGGTTTAGTGGTGGACTTGTCAGTGCGACGAAACCGCTGGACTAAAGGTTCTCTTCCAACCTAAATAATTCTGTGATTCTAACTAAAACATCCCCAAATTATCAACACTTTTCCAGCACAAATCCAAAACACAGCCCTGTACTAGCTACTATGAAGAAAGTTAACTCTACTCCAACCAAAACCAGCACACAGTGGCAAAACAAAGAATGAAGCATGTGTAAACTCAGCAGTATTTCATTCTTATTGACCATTCTATTGAGAAAGGAATCCACACACAGCACAACCTGAGCATGCACTAATCTGAGTGAAAACAGGTTTTTTGGGGGTAGGGTGCACAATTACTGATGCTTAACACAACACAACCAGGTTTCATTTTGTAGCTCATCTGTGTCAAGAGGTATTAAAAAAAAAGCCTATAAGCATCCATACATGGTTACTGAAAATTTAGGCACACAGTTTGCATAGATTTATATTGTACCAAAAAATGCATTACACTACCCATGTGTAAAATGTACCAGAAGGAAATTTATTGAAGCAGTAGCCATAAAGTGCAGAGCATCTCTTGTTGCCTTCAACAAAAGCCTTTCCCCTTCTACAGACACGAAAAGGCTGAGCACCTCCCACACTTTAACTGCTCAGTAGTCTCCCTTTAAAGAATGAAACTATATCAGACTTCAATTCCTTTTAAAAGAAAAAAAGAAAAAACCTACAGTAAGTTTCCCAGCTCCCCTCTGGATTATTCTAGGTACAGCAATGTTGCATTTGGAAGCTTTCCAAAAACATGTGTGGCTGAGAACACCAGGTTGTCTTTTCATAATGTGTTCAAGTAAATAGCGTTGGAATGTTAGTCACACAATGAATTATGTTCTGAAACACGCACGAGAGAACGTGCCCATGCAAAACCTCAACTGTACAAAAATCAAGAAGTGGTTTAATCTACTTCCAAGGCTCAAACATTCCAACGGCCTCTATTGTTCTTGTATCGATCTCCCTGTTTTCTGCAGAGCCATAAACTCAGCTGACAGACTGGCAACTTGCTGATTCAAGCACTGGTTCTCCCCTTGTACTTGTTTCAGCACGACTTGGTCAACGTGTAGCCTCATTTGTAGCTCGTGAAACTGCGGTAACTAAACAAACATC